TGGAATGATTAAGGAGCTAGAGAAGATGGAAAAGGGAGTTCATGTCCAGTTCTGAACCCTTCCTATCTGAGTGGCTGACCCTGTTTGGCATGCAAAGCATTGTCTCAGGATCTTGGTTCAAAATAAGAAAACAGCAGGCAGCTCCTGGAGAAACCGGGTCATGGCTCAGTGGAGAGCTGGAAGAAACCTTTGCACACACTACCCCCACACACCCCTTCCTTGCTTCCCTTCTACTTCATTATTAGTCTTTGGCTTCCTCTGAATGTGAGAGCAACGAGTGAGAAAGCTCACTAGTTTCTTCAGCATTGCCAACCCTTCCCCCTTTTGTTTGGGACAAACACCCAGGTATACTTGAAAGGCAACTGAAGCTTGGCCCCGAGCCATCAGAGCTGGCCCATGTTTGCCTGAACCCAGATTGCATTGATAGGCATCTTCCTGGGAAGGAGGAAAGAGAAAAAAAAACGTCCATCTCAGGCTAAATAATAAATACCACAGGGAATGAGGAGATAACTGCTTGGCCCTTAAGGCAGTGCTCTTCTTTGGTAATATGATTCTTTTCTCTTTGACAAGTTTGTCAAATACAATCCAGTAAACCTCACCTCTGGTAAATCAGTTTAATTACATTAAAATCAATGGAGCTATACTGACTTCTTTCAGCTTTGGGTAGGCTCAGAGGACCTTCAGTATAAAGCAGGCTTATGTTCTTACATCTCTCTGACTGCTGTTTTTCCTGTTGGTTAGTTTTTCCAAGTAATATTTTTAGTTCAACCTCTTCAACAAGACAAAAATTACTTTACATTGATTAAAGGATTTCAGGATTACTTAAAGTAAAATACCTATTTCATTTCTTCAGTAGCATAATCTGTTCTAAAATCTATTTCCCTTAAAAATGTGTTTTAGTTTGAAAATGAGAAAACGAAATTTTAAAGACTTTTTATTTTGCTATATCTGTGTGTGTGTATGTGCACATGCATGGATGTGGCCTGGAGCCATTCACAGAATCTGGCACTATTTTATAACCTATCACTCCAAAATGTCATTTTTCATTAAGTTAACATAGCATTTGTTTTTACTAAATGTATGTCTTCCCTCTTACACTCTTTTACCTGTGTTTTCCTCTAATTTTCCTACTGAAAGCTAAAGCTATTGCATTAAGCAAAGGCACTGTATCACTGACTCTCCTGGATTCTATATCGATTGATCTTTCTCTCCTTCTTTCTTTCCTTTTCTCTAAAAGAAACAGTGACATTTGATCAGTCTGACCAGTTCTGGAATTTTTAGAATTTATTCAGCACTGACAGTACTTTACCGAAAAGAAGAGTATGTACAATTCACAGTAGGGGTGAAGTTACTTGTTACCAGGAGAAGGTTTTTTGGTCAGGAGTTGCTGTGTGTCAAACTAGGTCCCCATCCTCAAAGACCATCTGCCTTGCACTTGACCTGAGGTACCAGCAGACAGCTCACTGTTTATTCTTTTGTACTTGGCTGCACTCTGCCGTCCTTATGTCTGTAAATGCCTCTGTTAGCTCCCCCTTTAAAAAGAAAAAGCAAAACCCTTCCCCTTGTTTACCTTGCAATAATCTGCCTATCACCCAAACTGCCAAAGCCATCCATCTATGAAGACAAGTGATTCTGCTTCCTACCTCAGAGAGTAACACCTCCCTGTCTGGGATGTAATTATGTTCATACGAAAGGTATTCCACCACTGCAGCTTAATCTTTCAGAAGAAGAAAGATAAGCTGTATTGATATAAAGCACATTTACTCCATGAAACAACATACACCCTTGGACTTATGGTGATGTAAAAAACAAACAAAAAAAAAAAACCTACACACAGCTCAACTATTTCCCAGCAACCAGGCACTTTTAAAAATCCTATCCCAGACCCCAAATATCTAGGTAGTGACCTATAGAAATGTTGCTCTTTGTACTCTAATGGTCCCAGCGCACAAGCCTGTTCACAGCTATCCTCTGTCTGCTTTAACAGCGGTCAGTTTATGGACTATAGCATGCCCATGGCTAGTAAAGTAGAAAGCTGCTTTAAAATGTACTTTATTCATGTTTTCTCACTGTTTAGACATCAGCTATGCATCCATACCATTCAGGCGTTCGTTGTCCACATCTCTGTTTACTCCACACTATATTTTCAGTTTTTATGGTATGCTATCACATCAGCTCACACAGCCACACAGGGATCCATGTCACCCAGATCACTAAGTCTGCCAATGTTTCTCTTCCCATGGTAGCCAGATTTGACTGAAAGGGGGGCCAATGCGATCAATGCAAGCACTGACACCATGTGAGAAAGCCCTGACGAGCTCAGAGTACAGTGCCAGTTATCTGAAAGCTCAACAGTCTCATTTCCCAGGGAACAATCCCATAGATACACTCATATCCAGTAAGTTTATTCAGGCTCCTATTCCATATGTGAAAATTACCTGAATTCAATTCAGCTTAGCACAGAGAGGATGCAAGACCTTCAGTTCAGCATATTAAGTGAGAACAGCCACTTCCCATCAGGCATTTTAATGTGTTCCCAGCCTGTCTTCCGAATTTATAATAATCTGTTAAGCAACGTCCCTGGTAACTGCCTCTATGACAGGGAAGCCACTATACCGTTGCTTCCACTTCTCAATGGCCCTGCGCAGCAGCTTGGGCTCACTGATGCTCCCTATTGAGCTAGAAGGAAGCAAGAAAAGCGACATGGTGAACGCTGATTATCCTGAAGAGCACACTGCTGGTTCTGCAAGCACCCTCAGTGATCAGCAGCCTCCTTCACGTCATCTACCTGATTAATGTGATATTTGGAGGGAAAGAGTTGCAGACTCCATCTCCAACTCAGCTGTGCCTTGGCTACAGGGATGTGTTTGCCACAGACACGTACTAGCAATAATATCCAGAGCCATTATAACGAGGTGCTCAGAACAGATGAGATCTAGCTGCATACCAGCCCACACAGAATTTTAACCTGAACCTACTCACTGCATCATTTGCTTTAAAGCAAGATAGCACAATCTTTTCAGTGTTGAGCCAGACATCAGTTTGAGACATCTCTAACAGCCACCTGTGGTGGAGTTCAGGGTTCTGTGAGTAGGGAACAAGGCAAGAAGCAGGATCACAACCCCGGACTTCAAAAGAGCAGACTTCAGCCTGTTCAGGGATCCGCTTGGAAGAATCCCATGGGATACAGCCCAGGAGTAAAGAAGGGTTCAGGAGAGCTGGTTGATTTTCAAGGATCACTTCCTCCAAGCTCAAGACCCTGAAATGCAGGAAATAAAGCAAAGGCAGCAAGAAACCTGCATGGATACTCTTGACAAAACTCAAACATAAAGAGAAAGTGTGTAAGAGGTGGAAGCAGAGACAGTGAGCCAGAAGGAATATAGAGACACTGTCTGAGCATGCAGGGATGGCTTTAGGAAAGCCAGAGCCCGCCTAGAGTTGAGTCGAGCAAGATACGTGAAAGGCAACAAGAGCAGCCTCTGCAAGCAAATCAGCAGCAGAAGGAAGACTAGGGAAATGCAGGCCCAGTGCTGAACAGGACAGGAGACCTGGTGACAAAGGACACGGAGAAGGCCAAGGTACTCAGTACCTTCTTTGCATTGGGTATTTACTGGTTTGACCTGCCTTCAGGAATCCCAGGCCCAAGACCACTGGGAAAGTTTGGAGCAAGACTTACTCTTGGAGGATCATGTTAGGGAATATTTAAACAGATTGAGACATACACAAGGATCTGATGGGATGTACACCCACAAGACCTGAGGGAGTTGGCTGATGTCACTGTGAGGACACTCTCTGCTGCTTTTGAAAGGTCATGGCAATCAGGACAGGCTCCTGAGGGCTAGAAGAAAGCAAATGTCACTCCTCTCTTCAAAAAAGGCAAGGAGGAGGATCCGGGGAACTACAGACCTTGATCTCTCAAAAGGTGATGGAGTAAATAATCCCGGAAGCCATTTCCAGATATATTAAGGACAAGAAGGTGACAGGGAGTAGTCAGCATGGATTTATGAAGGGGACATCACACTCAGCCATAGCCAGCTTAATAGTCTCCTATGATGAGATAACTGGCTTGGTGAACAAGGGGACAACAGCGGATGTTGTTTATCTCAAGTTTATTGGTAAGGCTTTTGACACTGTCTCACAGAATATTCTCAGATAAACTGATGAAGTACAGACTAAATACAGAGAGCGAGATGAACTGAAAACTGGCTGAACTGCCAGGCTCAGAGGGTTGTGGTCAGCAGCACAAAGTCTAGCTGGAGACCAGTCACTGGTGGCATACCTCAGGGATTGACACTAGGTCCAGTACTGTTTAACTTCTCCATTAATGGCCTGGACAATAGGACAGAGTGAACCCTCAGCAGGTCTGCACAGGATGCAAAATTGGGAGGAATGGCTGGTATACCAGGTGGTTATGCTGCCATGTAGAGGGACCTTGACAGGCTGAAGAAAGGGGCTGAAAGGAATCTCATTAAATTCAACGGGAAAGAAAGTCCTGCACCGGGGGAAGAATAACCTGCTCACCAGTACCGGCTGGGGGCTGACTGTCTGGAAAGCAGCTTTGCAGAGAAGGACCTCAGGGTCCTGGTGGACGAGAAGTTGAGCATGGGCCAGTAACATGTTCCTGTGCAACGAAAGCCAACAGCAGCTTGGGCTGCATTACGCAGAGCGCTGCCAGTAGGACTGTCTGTCAGTGCCCCAGACAAATTGTTGTTCTGCCTGGGGCAGGCCTCAACACACGGCCATGCTGGGGAAGGTAGCAAGAGGTGTAACTATGTCTTCTCCACTTTGGATGGGCCTTTCTTCCCATCA